ATTAATGTAACTGAAAGTTAAGCCGAAATCCATTTGCTTAACTATAGCAGGTAATCCGGATGTCATTGTAGACCTCAGGCATCATGTTTGGGCCAACTCTACCCTAGGCTCGTTGGCCACTCTCTTCTTCCGTCCATGTCCCAGTTCGAACATGACCCATTCGTAAACCGCCCACTGAACAGCATTCACTATGAAAGCTCGTACGCTGCAGATAGTCAACCCTCTAAAGAATACACGAGAGCCTCCCTCCCGGTACGCCTCACGTGCGACCTGTATTGCGCCAGCCCGTTTGGTTTGTGATGCTAAATTTGGTCGCAGAAGGGGTGTTGTTTCTGCTTGTCCGCCAAGAGTTTGAGCTTGAACTCTAGTCTTGACAACATCGAGTGGAAATATGCTCGCCCAAGTTACGACTCCAGCTAGACCTCCGCAGAGGAGAACCTTGGCGGCCTCATGTTGCAAAGAGGTTTCTTCGCCCTGTTCCGCGGCCAGCCAACGGGTAGTCAGCTCGTAGGACCAGAAGTAAAAGCCATAGCCAACGCTATCCCGGATGGCAGTCACAGTTCCGCCGAAGTAAAGACCTCGGGTACCTTCGTTTTTCCAGATATCCTTAGTGATAGCCCAGCTTGAGATTGGAGAGGATGCCAACTGCGCCCTGCACTTGATCAGTTCGGTGGGAGTGCTGACGACCCAGGTTGCAAGACCGCCCACCGCGCCAGCAAGCCAAGTATTCCACAAGTTTCCAGATGTTGAGAATACGCCATTCAATGCCGCCTCTGTTCGATTATATGAAACAAAGAGTAAGGCGTTCAGCGCACCGTAACCGAGAATTGGTGCTGCAGTTCCTGTCACTAGGGAGGCGTAAGATCCAAGGTACCGCGTGCTGAAAGATGCACCCTGGTTGGTGGCTGCAGCCGCTGCTGTTGTTCCTGTAGGGATCGAACAAACAGGCGGGTTCGTCACTGGACTGGTGTATTGCGCTTGAAGTCGAACTTTGATCACATCAAGAGGATTTCCGATGATAATTCCAACAGCTCCACTGAGATAGCCAGCCCAGAAATCAGCCGACATTATGAGACAAATTTTGTAGACTCTATAGGGGACAGGAGATTGTCAGTATATCTTGACACTTTGCGCTGAGCCACAGTGATAGTGCTCAAGACGCCGAGGTATACGAGGCCCCAGGCCAAGCCGAGCCGTGCAAGAGGAGCGCGATTCGCAGTAGCCTGCACATTAATTCGACGAAACCGCGTAAGATATTGCCAATGCGCGAAGTGTCCAGCAACAGTTGCAGTCAAAATTCCAGTGCGATGCCGAGCAATTGCTACTTGAAGAGGAGTCGGTCCAGAGGATTGATGGTTGGCAAAAGGATCTCCACCAGCCGATCGGCTTTGATCGGACTTGGACAGATTGACGCTTGAAGGCATGTGTTAGTGATCCAGGACCAGATGATCAGCGGTGGCCTACCCTGACGACGTTGCAGCAAATGGGCTTTCAGTTATCATCTTGGGCTGGGTTTTGACCGAGCGAGTTGTATCTATATAGGAAAAAGGAGAAAAGGAGAAGATGTATTCCTTGCCAGTCGTTCCGGTCCCATGAATGAACCGAACGACAAACTCGATTCTTGGACCGATTCCCGATGGATCCAATTTTATGTACCTAAGCTACCTAGTGGAGGCTTTGAGTTTTTTGAGCCCGGGATTTCGGTGGTTTCGGGGTCTTTGCTAGGGATGGCCGATGGCTAGTAGCTTTCTTACAGTCTAAGGTAAGGTAGAAAGCTAGTGGCGATTCACGTGATAGCGTGTTGCTGCCTGCTGTCGCGTCGAGTCACCAACATCGCGCTTGCCTAGGTATTTACCCTCCATTGATTCTCGCTGGGGTGGCAAGAATTCTTTCATACTTGGAACAATCGTCCGATAAGTCTTTGAAACGAGAAGATATTCAAGATGGGAGCAGCGTGAGTAACAGGACACTTTGGCGCGGTGTTGCAAGCTCTAATACTCAATTTAGGTCCCCTCTCGTCGCGACGCCACTTGCTAGCAAGGACAAAATTCTGGGCAAGCGGATGCCAACGCCCTCTTCAATTGACCGTCTTCACAAGCCATTCAAATGCCCTGGCGTCGCTGGAAGAAGCCCGGCTGTTGATCGACCGTCCCGCAAGCGAAGAAAAGTCGATTATGGTGGTGCCGATGGCGAAGCAGATAATGACAAACCATACTCCAACGACGACAGGCTTGCGCTCGCCACTCGAGACATCAACCGTTTCCCCGTTTTCCAGGCCAAAGATAAAGGCCTCGTTTTCCGCAAGGCCTTTTCTGTACCATTGAAGAACAAGGACAGCGCTGCATACAATCCCAATCGTGCCCCTCCTACACTGGGTCTACGGCAAGGTGCAGTCTTCATTGCAAAGCCTCTACATGACCCCAGTGGCGAATTCGCAATTGTTCTTCATGATCCGACTGTCGACGACAAACCAAGAGATGTCCCCAAGGCAATTGAGCCCGCCAAGACGGAGGCTGCGGACGGGAAACTCGACGCTCCACTCGTACATAAGAGTCTTGCTGAGATTCTCGGAATCAAGAAGAAGGTGGACGGCGAACACCCTCGCGTTCCAGTCGTAATTGACCCGAAGCTGGCCAAGATCCTTCGTCCCCATCAGGTCGAAGGTGTCAAATTTATGTATCGATGTGTTACTGGCCTGATTGATGACAAGGCCAATGGCTGCATTATGGCTGACGAAATGGGTCTGGGAAAGACTCTTCAGTGCATCTCTCTGATGTGGACACTACTCAAGCAATCCCCTGATGCTGGGAAACCGACAATTCAGAAAGCAATCGTTGTCTGTCCTGCCAGCTTGGTCAAGAATTGGGCCAACGAGTTGGTGAAGTGGCTTGGTCCTAATGCCATCAACCCATTCGCCATCGATGGAAAGGCGTCTAAAGAAGAACTGACACGTCAACTTCGACAGTGGGCAATTGCTAGCGGACGGGCCGTCACCAGGCCAGTCATCATTGTTTCCTATGAAACTTTACGATTGAACGTGGAGGAGCTGAAGCACACAAAGATTGGCCTGCTTTTCTGTGATGAGGGACATCGTCTCAAGAATAGCGACAGCAATACCTTCAACGCCCTCAACAGTCTCAATGTTTCGCGGCGTGTCATTCTCACAGGCACACCTATCCAGAATGATCTCACGGAGTATTTCTCGCTCACAAGTTTTGCAAATCCCGACCTGCTCGGCACACGACTGGAGTTTCGCAAACGCTACGAGATCCCAATTCTCCGCGGCCGAGATGCTGACGCGTCAGAGGAAGATCGAAAAAAGGGCGATGAGTGCACCGCTGCATTGCTCAATGTTGTTAACAAGTTTCTGATTCGCCGTACAAACGACATTCTTTCCAAGTACTTGCCTGTCAAGTACGAGCACGTTGTGTTCTGTAATCTTGCACCCTTCCAGTTTGACCTCTACAACTACTTCATCAAGAGTCCTGACATTCAGGCTCTCCTGAGAGGCAAGGGAAGTCAGCCTTTGAAAGCCATCAACATTCTCAAGAAGCTCTGTAACCATCCTGATCTTTTGAACATGGCGGATGATCTGCCGGGCTCAGAGCAGTGCTTCCCGGACGACTATGTACCCAAGGAATCCCGTGGTCGAGATCGCGAGATCAAGTCATGGTATTCAGGCAAAATGGCAGTGTTGGATCGCATGCTGGCTCGTATCCGCCAAGATACAAACGACAAGATTGTGTTGATTAGCAACTATACTTCGACACTGGATCTTTTTGAACGAATGTGCCGCTCTCGTCAGTATGGATGTTTGCGACTCGACGGAACCATGAACGTCAACAAGCGTCAGAAGCTTGTTGATCGGTTCAACGACCCTGAAGGTGACGAATTCGTCTTTCTACTCAGCAGTAAGGCTGGCGGATGCGGTATCAACCTTATCGGCGCGAACCGCCTGGTGCTATTCGACCCCGATTGGAACCCGGCTGCTGATCAACAGGCGCTTGCTCGAGTGTGGCGCGATGGACAAAAGAAGGACTGTTTCGTGTACCGCTTCATCGCAACGGGCACTATCGAGGAGAAGATCTTTCAGCGCCAGTCTCACAAACAGAGTTTATCTTCTTGCGTTGTGGACTCGGCGGAAGATGTTGAACGTCATTTCTCGCTCGACAGTCTCCGTGAGCTTTTCCAGTACCGGCCAGATACCAAGAGCGACACTCATGAGACGTTCAAGTGCAAGCGGTGTAAGCCTGATGGCAAGCAGTATATCAAGGCGCCGGCCATGCTGTATGGTGATACCAGCACATGGAATCATTTTGTCAACGAGGGACTGAAGCCAATTCAGGACTTGCTCTTGAGGCAAGAATGTGGAGAGTCCGAGGTTTCCGCTGTGTTCCAGTACATTTCTCACTAAGTTATCAGCTTTGTGTCTTTAATGATTCATGTTCACGAGGCATTCGGGGCATTATTGTGGATTAGCGATATTGGAAGGTCATGATCTGTTTTATGGAGTTTCATGGCAGACCTGTTTAGATAGACAGGCTTACTGTAGAGTGATATTAGATGAACACTGATAGAATATAAAATACTATAAGTATTCAAGAGCGCACTGGGTTTTTTACCAATTTGCTCCGCGCATTGCGACGTGAGATCCATCGACCATACCACGAGTTCGCGACTTATCGACCTACTGTACCAGGAACCGTATCCACCTCGAGTTATTCTATTCGATCAACTGGAAGAAGTGGCACATTTATCTACATGCTTCGAGTTACTCTGTATCTTGGCTTCTATCATGTTGAAGTCATGACAGGTAGACACAGTGCTCATGACATATATAATCTTTTCTTCGCACTGTTAATGACCTGCTAGCTAAAGTTTTAGTCTTTCTGGTCCAGGAACGTGAACCTCTTGAGAGTCGCAAACCCAACAGCCAACACCACAAGGACTACCTGGGTCAAATCAAATAAATCCGACTCCTCCCTATCACATACACCAAAATGTCTTCCAAGCCTGCCAACCAGCCCTCTCCGGAGTTTACCTCCTACTATCTTCAACGCACAACACAAGAGCTCTCAGAGGACCTTGACAAAGTTCGCAACGCAGAGGACTTCAAGGCCGATTCCATTCCATTCCTTGTTCATGCCCTGCAACAGGGTGCGGGTCTTTTCTCTGCTGAGGACCAGAAGAGAGTGGTCGCTGCACCAAAGGCCAAGGACGGGGATGCATGAGCAGACTGTATATACGCAGTCCGGATTTTTTTCAGTCTACCTACTACGTGGACGCACGGCAGCATTTCAGATCCGCTCCTTTGCAATAAGTGGACTCGTGAGAGCAATTATTCACCACTTCCTACGAGACAAGATGTCAAACCACAAGGATGGCTTTTTTTTTCCTTTGCAGAGAGGAAGCGGTTTTATTGACACCAAGAATGCTTGACACTGCACTCAAATACGCCACGGCATGTTGTCAGCTCAGTGAAAAGGGGATAAGTCAAATTCAGGAATTATGTCATTTAGCAGCCGTTATTACATAGGGGTATCTCAAATCAGAGTCTACACTACATCAACCGCGCATTACAATCAATCTATATATACGCCAGTCTTCTACCCGGGCCGAATCACGGCAATCTGTCATTCCTCCATCAGTATGTGTATATGTACGGCCTAATTCGAATTACGGAGTCGTTCGAGTCGGACAGCCCACCCCTTGATCGCGAGGACGATAACGACCCAAGCCATCAGGAGGGCGACCACACCCATGGTGACAGTGTACATGAACATGGCGTCAAGATGGTAGTGGATCATTCCGTCGACAGTATCAGTGCTCTACCTCAAGTTAGCGTTTTGGATCGTTTTCAGGCGCCCTGGACGTACACTAGCCATAAAGATGATACCTCCAGCGGTCAATCCGAAAGCAGCTAAGAGTTCCGTGGGGGGTCGTGATGGGAGAATGGACTTGGGTGGCTTCAGATACATGATGAGGTAGGTCAAACCTCGAGCAAGGGAAGCCCCTAGAAGGAGGTCACCCCATTGCTTATGAACCATGCTAGACATCATGGTATGCTGTGTGTGGGAGCTCATCATGAGTCCAAGCAGCAGGATGACCAAAGCTGGTATGGGGTTGAGCGAGAACTCATATGTGTCGGGAGCTTCAGGTTCGTTTTCTTCTTCAACCGTGTAAGGGCTCTTGGGTTGAGCTTCGTCCACAGTTGTGTTGAGGAGATGGCGAATACGTGTCGACTCGATGAGCATACCGCACTAAAGAAACAAGTCAGTTTTTTTGTCTGGAAAAATCGACTGGGGCATATCAAGGCACTTACCAAGCCTCCTCCAATGAACAGAACTGTGATGGAGATGTGCTCCATGTCCTGGGCGGTCCAGTCTCCTCCCCAACCGCCGAGGTGCTCCATGAAGATATTGGTAGCACCATAGAAGAAGATCAAGGAGCTCTCGACAAACTCAGCAGAAGGACGCCACTTCTGGGAGTCCTTCTTTGGTGGGACATTCCATGCCCAGCCAAGCTCTCCAAAGCTGCCAGTCCAGCGGCCGAGGGTGAAGATACCTAACCAGAAGAAAACACCGCCCTTGATCCAATGCGCCAATCCATTGAAGATTCCGCCTCCCTCCTGAGAAGATTTGTCAGTCAAGTGTCGCAGCCAAGGCATCTGCTAGCAACTTACAAAGAAACGACCAAAGGTGGCAACACCAGTCGCAAGCGCGATGAAGCCGGAAGGAAGGATAATGCGATCGACTATGCAACGGCCGAGATTCAAATACTTCCATACTCGCGAAGCAGCGATCTTGGAGGCGTGGCGAGCAAAGGTTCCCTGAGGTTCAGGAGAGGCTAGTGACAATTCCTCCAGGTCAACATCATCGTCCTCGTACTCCTTCCTGGGGTTGTTGACAGGCGACTCCATGCCATTGAGAGTGGATGCCGAGTCGCTTCGAAGCGAGGGCGTGTTCGATTCGGTTCCTCGTCCACTGTCGCTGGACATTCGGTAGGGGCTGTCATTGTGGTAGCCATGGTGCGAAGAGTAGTCGGCCTCTCGCGTCGCGACAGGCAGAAAAGCATGTCTCTCATTACTCAACGCCTTTCCCTTGCCCCTTAAAGCTCCCGCGATACAGCCAACGGCGCTTACAAGGACCTGGGCGCAAACGACCGAGGTAACAATCCAGCCAATCTTGTGGTGCGCATTGTTTGGATACAAGTCTGGGGTCTGCGCGTTATATATCACGCCGGCGAGGACTCCAAGAGCATTTGTAGCTAGGAAAATAAATTGCGCCGGTAGTGTAAAGCGAGAGTTTGCCAGTGAGAACATGACGGCTGAGGGGGGTGGTGTTAGTCGACGCATAAAGCTTAACACGATGAAAACTTACCAATTGGTAGAATAAATACCCAAGAAAGAACCATTAATGCAATATGTGTGTATATGACTCCAGTGTGTTCAGTATGCGCAAAGTATGTATCGGGATAGTCCTCGCCGTTGGGGGGTTGTGTCGTTGCGTTGCCATCATGGCCCATGTCCATGCTTTCAGCACCACCACCATGCGCAATTACGGCGGGTAGAAGCGCCAAAAGCAATGCGCCGGATGCGCGCGATATAGTTTTTGTATAAGCCATATTGGCAACGTATGCCCAGAGAGGTTTGTCCTCAGAGGGAGAGAAAACAATAGAGAGATGGAACGAAACAAGACTAAACCAGACAATGCAACTGGGCGAGAAGAGATCGCAAGCAGTAATTATACTTGTTTACAGCCAGAAAGACACAAGCGGGAGGACATTTATAATCATGCGATCAAGTAGACGTCAAAACGAAGAGCGTTTCAAGAAATCATGACATGGCATTGTTTTAAAACAAACCCAAGATCTTCTATTGTTGCTATCGGGCCCGAGCGGCCGAAAACAGGTCATGAGCTGAGGCATTGGAATCTCTTGGTCAGTCGGAGACGAAGCGACGAGAGCCAAGAGAGGATACGCAGCTGTTGACCATCCGAAGCTTCCGAATTGCTTCATCATGGGAAGTTGTATCTTTACCTCTGAATAGGAAAACAAAAAAAAACAAAAAAGATAAATGCGGTAAGCATATGGATGGATAGTGGGGGATCCTCAAAATGGGGCCGGCCGGTGGGGGGGTGGCATCTATACAGCTTCAGTACACCCACCACAGAGGTCACTGTACATTACATTACATACAGGGCCCCATGTGCTGTACTGTACTTGCTTTGGGGATCTGTTGGTTCCGAACAGTTACGTTTTTAATCCGTCCATGGTCAACGTGATCGATCGATCGATCGGCACGGAAACTTTGGAAAAGGCATCTTCTGGAAGACCGTCAAGGCATTTCGGCGGAGATGAAGTGGATAGATATCACGGTCCATGCATGAATGGATCCTCCTCTCCTCTCCTCTTCCATTCCTATTCTCACCGAGTATAGAGATCACTACATTAGTAGTCACTGATCACAAGAACTTGTACGTGTGTGTGTGGGTGTGTACCATAGCTTGCTGTCATGCAAGCATCGCAACCCTTGACCACGTTTGGTTACGGGCACCTCGAGCCGGACCCGATAACACTCACTCACTGGCTTACAAGCGAATTACGAATATCCCGTCATAAGCTCTACGCGTCCTAACTGTGGCTTCTCATCCAGTATTACTCAAAACTGACCTGCTTAGTTAGGCCTTCATCGCCGATATCAAAGCACAGACTGATGTCGAACAAAATGCCGAAGTCCACATGAGAGCTTTCGTCTTTATTACAGGCATTATCATGCATCATGGAGAGCTTTATTAATGCCGACATCTTTGGCACTAGTTACCTCATCCCGCGCTGTAAAGTAAAGTCAAGCTACGGCGTCATTGATTGGATACAGCGGGCTTCTACCTCTCTGATGTGTGTGTTCCTTGGGGTATAATCCCGGTCCAGCATCTCCACACAACTTCAACCTAACTACGCCGACAATTCCGCACACTTGCTCCTCAGCTCTTGACTTAGAAAGTCTTTACGTCTGTGCAGTGTAAACGATAAGGCTGGATATGACGTCTAGTATAGTCAAATATTCGTTTAGGGCTGACAAAGAAGTGTACTGTACTCCATATAACACAATGACAGCGTATTATGCTCTATACTATGTACGCCTTACGACATGTGCGTGCTTGGTAGGTAGTTAGTCTGTGCTAGCCGAACGGGAACTTTTCACGGAACCTTTCCTCATGGACCTCGATGACTACAGATGATTCATACCGAAGTGTCTTGGCAATCACGGAACTCTGATCAAGATCGAGAAATGTGACTGTAACTGTAGGTCTGAGCACCAGACTACCTACCTAGCTACGGTATCTGCAGGCTTTTACCATTATCTCCGTCTCCGTGGGCCCGATGATGCCGGTCAAGTAGAAGGACAGAGACAGAGACAGAGACAGAGACAGAAACCAGACGCATTACATTAAACAGGGCCACAATCCACCAACCTTGAGCTGTCGAAATGGTCACAAGGCATCACACAACCATGCCCGTGAGCAAGGAGGGGCCTGAAGCCGGGCATAAAGTACTGTACAAGGGTCATGAGAAGGAATGGTTGCTCCAGTTGGACGGTTAATAGGATACCACAATGAATCAGATTACCTACCCTAGATGTCCTCCTCCGCTGACAAATTGCTTCGTTTTACACCACACAACTCGGTTGAAGGAAGAGGTGCATAAGCAGAATTTTCTCTATCCCAATCTAGGGCAGAGTGCTCGGATCGTCCACGATGGATGTGCTAGCTCACCGCCCGCTTAGTTGTCGTGTCTATGGCGCTGACTTGCATCCATCGTGTGTACCTATTACACCCAAAAGAGTCAGCTGTCTTGGTTACAACCCGAGCCAGCAGATAAGAATGAATACAGTGATCTCGCCAAGAACGATATCTTGTGGTCAGTTTGTCTCCGTTCCTCAGGCATACGCATGTCTACACGTATGCTATACGCCAAAAATTTACGCCCGAACTTACACTCCGCAATTTGAACACTGAGGCTGTATACATCATCGAGCTCTTGCTTTTTACGGTCTGTCGTATGATATTCGGACAAGATTGAACCGTTTATGACTGCATGAAACATACATACCTCTAAACGACGGGTATAATGTTGTAGTCTCAAAAGACAGCTAGCTCTTTGTACTGTACTTGCATGGGGAGCTTGGGATCTGATGTGACGACACTACATTGCGTTGCAGCCAGTCTCCGTAATCGGCCAAACTGAAGCTGCATGTACAGTATGTATCAAGAGGATCGATCTGCTTACACTTCAACATCAGCAGCAATGTCAGTGTCAGTCGTTGAGAACATGGCCAATGCCGTGCATGTATTTGCTTGCTAGAGTGGCTGCGTTAGTGGACAGGGGTGTTCCCAAAGCCAGAACCCAGTTGGCGATCAATAACTAACTAAGCTACTCCGTATGTACTAAGGTCCATGTTGTCACATCAAGACTTGGACGATGTGAACGATCCGACACTGCCGAAGGCCCTGCCTCATCTCGCTACGTACCAAGTTTACCATACAAACTTGCTACAAAACTCAGCTCTTGGCATGCCAAATCATGCCACAGGCCTAACCCTGTCCATATTGTTTAAAAGTCCGTATTCCCGAGCAAACACGGTTCCTCACAAGGGCCTTTCGGGTAATGAATGATGAATACATAACTACCCAACTTATTACGGCAATTCGGAAATACACCACTGACTCACTGCAGCCCAAACTCATAGAGAAGCCCGCCCATCTACCAGCAGCTTCCACTCGTCACCATCATGAGCTACGCGACCTTCGCTCTCCAGCTTTCCCAGTATCTGCAAAACACCGCCACGAGCTGCTGGGTGCAGATTCTGAGGCACATCTTTGTAAATCACCTCGACCAGATCTGTCGCTGTCCATGCCGACCACAATGCAGATTCTTGAGTTTCCACTTCGCCAGGTCCCGTTTTCAATGTCTGAATGACCTGATCTTCTCGTTGTTTTCGATGTCCGATGTACTCGGCAATCTTTGCTGGTCCATTCTCAATCACCGGTCCGTGTCCAGGGTATGCTCGGCCTTTGAACAGAGGTTTCATTTCTTCTAGGCTTCGTAGATACGTGATCATGTCCTCAAATACCGCAGTCCCCTGACCGAGGACGTTGTCGGCTGTGAACATCGCGTCTTCTTCCTCAAGAACGAACACCATATGGTCCTTTGTGTGTCCTGGCGTATACGCTGCTGTCAATGTAGCGCCGTCGACTTGAAAGCGCTGCCCGTGCTTGATTTCATGCTGCGCTTCCTCCGGAGTGTGCTTGAAGATTCTCGTATGTGGTGAGATGCTCAAGAGATCCTTGATACCACCTGTATGATCATGATGCCAGTGCGTGATGAGTGCGGTGTCTATAGTCGCATTCTCCTGCTGTAGAGTCTCGCGGACAGATGAGATCCAAGCATTGCGACCCTCGCCAGTGTCAATGAGAAGCCGGCGACGACCCGTACCAAGAAGATATGTGTTTGTGCCTTGGAGAGTGAATTTGCCTGGATTGCCACCCAAGATTCGGATGACTGTAGGACTGAGACGCTCTACAGCTGGCAGAGCAATGAGTTGAGTTGCCATGGTACTCCAGTTGTTGGTAACTAATGTTCAAGGTGGAGGAACGGAGACCCGTATGGGTGAAGCTATCGGCGCAGATCGGGACGAGTCCGGAGCCGGGATGCCGCAAAGTCGGGCCGGGGGTTCGGTAGAGAGTGGAGACTTTGAGCCCCGTTTCTGGTCAAATAAGCTCAAAGTTCAAAGATGTTTGTGCACGGTATGTTAAGGATGAAAGATGAGAAACAGGAAGAGGATGTTGATCTACAAGAGGTAGAGAGGGAGCTGGCTGTCGTCATTCGGCAATCTAAACTGCTTACCTATTCAATGGGGAATGAAGAAACCTCGGCACGAATGGTGCTCCTCTTCTAAGTGCATATTGACGTGATGGAGGGAGATACAGTGATAGGTAGGCATCACTTTACACATCGTAAATACTAGCTATTATCTTGTTTGATACTACCTATCAGATCCTGTAATGGAGCTTCCAGATGTAGTGAAAATTATTCTCAAGTGACTGTCAACTACAACATTACGAGTTAATGGGCCTGCAAGACGCGCCGTGGTCGCGGTTAATATGAGGTTCAGCTGGTGAGACTAGTGCCAAGCTGGGTAAGGTACTACCTTAGTTAACGTACCTTAACTGCCTAGTACCTACCTAGGCACCTGTAGGTTATCTTATCGCCCTGCATGGCATGGGCATAATTTTCATGAGCGCCTCCATGACTTGATGATGATGTATCTGCCCGCCAATCTTACACCAAAAGGTACCTGACACACTAAGTTCCAAGGAGTCTGCACCCGTTCCATTGTAATCTCTCCTAATTACCTTACCTTACCTTACCTTACAGTGAGTGATAACTAGTGGCTTTCAATACCACGGTTGCACTTCTATTTCCATGCTACCCATGCATGCATGCATGCACTTACTTAATCTATTCTATTAATTGAAGGAACAATCAATAGGCGCAACAACAGAGTTTGATCTTTTCATCTCTATTGTTTAATTCCTTAGCGGCCACCTCTCGACGCTCATTCGTCTCTTACAGTTCATCAATCTTTGATATTAAGTTTCAAGAGGTTGGCCACCAATTGTCCGACTTTCGGCTTCCATGCTGTTTGTTGGTTGCACATTCATGTAACTCTGCGCCTCGCGTGCATCCTTCAGCCTTGTACACCATCGCATCACCCGCCAAGCAAAGGAACGAATAAATAAACGAGCGACCGAGCGACCGAGCGACCGAACGAGCGTACAACGAGCCGATCAAGAGTAATCGAATAATCAATCCTGTCTTTATACATGCGGATTTGAGTGTACGGTACAGTAACTCTCAGCCGCATCCGCTTGATCACGAATCGAGCTCCCTTTTACCAGCCGCATCAACAGGCTTCATTCGTCCACCACGAGCTTCAATTGCCGCAGCAAAACTCTAGCCGCGAAGGCTTGATTCCTCACAATGTCTGGGCGACCGACAACCCCGGCCTCACCTAAAAACATCAAGGTGAAGTCTCCGGTCCCCGGATCACCAATGTTCGGCTGTGGTATGCCTACCCAATCCTCTGTCTCTCTATATCGTCATCTGATTGTCCCTAGAGCATGTACAACTCCTCCTCAGCAAGAACCAAGAGGTCATGAACAGCTCGATCACGCACTACAAGTTAATCCTCCGCAACATCTTCGATGCGACACCCATCGTCCCCCAAACCTCAACACAAGAGGGCCGACCCGTTACAACACTTACCTCGAACTACCTCTGCCTACAATGTCCCATGACCGTGTCCGAGGAAGATCGATTGAAACATGGAACCAAGAAACAGCACCGTTTCTGTTAGTAGCCTTGTGCTGCTGCTTTCTGCTGCCTGTTTTGCTAACCCTGGCGCAGATGTTGACTCTCGGAGCGGTTGCCTGTACTGTCAGATGTGCGACGATTTTGTCTGGGATCCAACTCTCGAGGAGCTTCGAGTGAGAAAGATAGGGACTGGCTCTTTTTCTGGTAAGCGATTGTGCACCGAGATACGTCGAGTCAAGGCTCGTCCATACGCGATACAGAATGAGAACGGATAGCCGTGTCTTTGACTGGTTTTCTGTCGCCTGAAATTAACTGTTGGCCAGGTCGCAAGAGAAAACACAATGAGCTCTTCTCAGATTCCATGAAGGATGACCCTCGGTATATTACTAACAATACTACAACCGCCTCCTGTCGTGCAAACGGCCTGCGCGGCATCTACAACGCCGGTGCGACCTGCTATCAGAACGTTGTTCTCCAAAGCTTCTTGCACAACCCATTACTGAGAAACTTTTACCTAAGCGATGGTCACCAGAGCAATGATTGTCAGATCCCTCACTGCCTGAGCTGTGCAATGGACGACATGTTCCAAGATTTTTACGCCCTAGAGAACACTAACGGTTATACTGCTGCCAATATCTTGTCAGGTTTCTGGATCTCCGAGAAGAAGGCATTCGAGAATCTCGTTACCACCAAAGAACAAGACGCTCATGAGTTCTTCCAGTTCTTAGCTGAAGAGCTTCATGAACGAAATGGTGATGGCAAAAAGCCGGAGATTGGCAGCGAACATAGCTGCAATTGTATCATGCATCAGACATTCTACGGCAAGATGCAAACAACTACGACATGTCAAAATTGCTCAGGCCAGAGTAATTCCATTCAGTCGTTCCTTGATCTAAGTCTAGGTCTCGAAAATGTCGTCCAGAAGAAGAGCAAGAGGACTGGTCAGAAGAAGCCTTCTCTAACCTTGCAGGATTGCTTGGACGAAGAATACATCAAGTATGACAAGTGCGAGTATCGGTGCAACAACTGCAACGGGACTCAACAAGCCAAACGACATACCAGCATTAAGCGGCTGCCGAACGTTCTGTCGATACAGCTGAAGGTGAGTCTAGTCGGTGGCTCGTGAGTGTTGGTGTTGGTCCGTCAAGTTAACTCTTTTTCACAGCGCTTCGAGTACAGACATGGCCGACACGATCGTGCCGCGTCAAAAGTCGACAATGAAGTCAAATTCCCTCTCCAACTCAATATGCTGCCTTACACCAATCGTGTTCGCAATCACGAGAGTCGTGAGAGCCTTGAGCTGGAGCGATCATGCACATATGACCTCCTTAGTGTTGTGGTTCATGTGGGTGAGATCGACACTGGCCATTATACATCATACTGTCGGGTCGGCGACCAGGTAAATGTCATTCTTCATGACACTGTATCACAGCTGACATGTCTTTTTAGTGGTTCAAGTTCAATGATCACAAAGTCGAGTTGGCGAGCTTATCTGACGTCCTTGGGGCACAGGCCTATCTCCTTTTCTACATCATTCGCTCGCTGGCCTAGGCGATTGAGGTTTGGATGAGGAGAGCTAGAAAGGCATTACTGATCATGATCAATAAGTCGACTGGATCCCTATATCAGCTGCTGGTTGAGCGCAGTATGGAGCATTCCTCGGCGCATATATGTAGTTTAGTAATACCGCGGCACCCTACTGAATAGGGCGGACCATGGTCTTTCTTCAGATGTATCTCTTTCTCTTACTGTGACGGACTTTACTGGGTTTGGCGTATCCCCAGATATTTCATAAGTCATTGTACCGTGTGCCATGTTTCCCAGTCTTGTATGTTCTTCCCAGACTCTGAGACGGCTCCACCAGCGGGTGTTATCTTTGAACACCTCGCATCTCCTGTCCAGCTTCTCTAAGCTGATTCATCAGATCGCCAGTCCCAGGTTGAACTCTCGAAATTGGCGTAACAGTAATAATGGTTACTTAAACCGGCGTGAGCAGGCTCGAAGGTTGTCGCGTAGACTCCAAGAGAACGGTAGAGCTTGTCAACAATGGTAGCCATTCGTTCTCCCGTGCACACAATCACACGAGGCGACTTTGGCTTGACGAGCCAGCGGCCTGTTAGGGCAACTGGTGGGTGACATGTTAACTAGTAGTTAAATTGGAGGGTGTAGATCGTGATACGGGATGGGGTGTCATCCTCCGGATGGTGACCAGGATGACTGTGAGCATTACTTACACTTAGTCTGACAGTCATTGCTGAAGAATGGAGGGTCAATGATAACACTATCCAAGCTGCCCTTCAGATGAGCTGAAACAATAATATCAGCATATGCCAAAAAGCAGTTTTCAACTAGCAAAGCAGTCATACCTGGAAGTTGGAGAGGTCGCTGGAAGTCATAAAAGACAAACTCGGGAAAGACGCTGAAACGGTGGTCATGTTCGAACAAGACCAGCTTAGGTCGGTCTTCAAGAGGCCAGAATCTCTACGTCCCAGTCAGTTCCTGGGTTCTACATATCAAGCCATGGGCATGACAGAGGCCGTGTTGATCTTACAAGACGGTTCTTGAGCGCAATGAACACACTCGGTGTCGAGACTACACCAATAGTCGAGCTTGACGATGCGCCATCGAGGAGCTGATCGGCCAGAGCAAAGGCTGTTTCGTCGAGGAACTAGATCGTCAGGCCCATGTTAGTATGTATGCATTTCTTTCCGCCATGTCAATATCATGAAGTTGTTGTAGTGCCAAGACCAGCCCAGTACGTAATAGATACCCCAACTTCAGACAGGCAAAGGCACAGACTCTCTCTGTCGAAGCCGATCACGATGCCATGCTATGCCATCTATCTCCACCGCCGGAGCCAAAAGGCGCAAGACAAGTGGACGAGAGGACGTTGTTTGTGCATGTCATCTTACGTACCCAAAACTGCGATTCGTTCCAATCCTCCGTAAAGGCTGCCATGCTCAGCGGTTGATCGTCCGCATCCTCCGCTACAGGGTCCTCGTCCTCCGGTTCGACGACGCCGAGTCCGGCTCCAGCTCTCGGGGCGGCGCCGGTCCTCAGCTTCTCAAATGTCTTTTCGTGGGCGTCCTTTTCGGCGTGGAACTCGGCCAGCGCGGCCAAGGCGTGACTCGAGAGGCTTCTGGAGAGACCAGCCCAGCCAAAGTCAGTAAACTGGGCCCTGTAACTTGCGGTGGCATGGATGTCTTGTATCTCTTACATGGGCTCTTCATCATCAAAAGACATCGGGATGTTGTCGTCAAAACGTTATTATTATTTTTGGTTCTGATATGCGGTCGCTTCAATGCGTTGCGATGCGATGCGATAGAAGGTTTTTTTTGTGAGGGTTTTGACGGGGTCCTCTTTACTGCCTGCCACTGCTTGCTCGACGGTCTAGACTCTCGCTATCAAAGAGCTGCATACCTAGGTATGCGATGATGGAAAGCTAGCTACAGGGTAGCTACATGTGGACTGATTCTCTCAACCGTCATATTATCTGATATCATCTCAACCCAAAGAAACCTGTACAATTGTTCGAACTCGCATACCCTCTAGTCTATGCGGTCCTATATGCACGGACTATTGTCGACTTGTCCGCTCAGCCGTGAATCACCAGCCGCCTTTCCAGCTTTCGCAATAAGCAAAAATTTAAATTCATTGTCTTTACAACTCATCCAAGACATGGATGTACTTCTTCTCTTCCCTCTTCTCCTTCTCTGTCGCAGGGGGGAGATCGTAGAAGTTCTGACTTCGGAATCCTTGCTATAAGAAAACGGTATCAGTTTGTGACTTTCACGACCATGATGGAGGCACTTACCAGGTAGTGGTAGGTGAAGTTGATAATATCACCAGGCTCAATACCAAGATCCTTAAAGGTCTTGGCCTCAGGATCAATGACCTGGTCCAAGTACTCTCGCTCAACCTCATCAGCTGAAAGAGTGTGCCACCAGAGGAACTTGTTCAGGATCTCAGCAACAGGCTTAAGGATGGCTTTGGGCACGTTGATGTGTCGTCGCTGCTTGTAAATTTCCTTATCGACCATAACGGAAATCTCCTCCATGCTGTACTTCTTGGGTCCGTAAAGCTCAAAAGTCTGACCAGCAGTTGTGTCGTCATAGAAGATCTTCTCAAGAGCAGCACCAACGTCGATGGACTGTGGCGGTTAGTAACGCTGACCCTAAGCACTCTGGCAATAGCTTACGTGAACGGGGTAGAACTTCTCCTGCATGTTATTGGAAGTGAAGAGGTTGGTGACGCCAGCAAGCTTCAGAAGCAGGTTGTCCTCGAAGCCGAAGATGGGCGCAGGTCGGACAATAGTTGTCTCAGGGAAAAGTTGTCGAGCAACCTCCTCAGCTCGACCCTAAGTCGTTTGTTAGCAATTCCCTCCATTGACCATGCTGACGATCCACAAACCTTTGTTCGGTAGAACTCGGAGACGGACTGAGAGTTGGCGCTGTGGGAGGAAACGTGGATATATCGGTCGACATCGTACTTGCAAACAGCCTCGACAATTCGCTCAGTTCCCTCAACGTGCACATCCTCCAAAGAAAAGTTCCTGATCATCATTTAGCTTCCGTCCTATCCATTGGTCTGTATCATATTGACGTACTTGGTGGGATAGTCGCGGCCAATCAAGTTGAAAACGGCATCGGAATGTCGAACGCTCGCCTCGATCGAAGGGGTGTTTCGAAGGTCATGCTCCTATCAAGAGGGTTACTGAAGGGATCCTGAGCATATCGGGGTGGGCTGGGGCGTACAATGAAGACAACACGGCCGAGATCTCCAGTGACCTTGAGATGACGCTTGGACATCTCCTCGCGGTAGGGAATAACGACAGTGCATCCCTGACGGGCTAATGCCAGTATCAGTATTCCAACTTTGCATTCCAGTTATCCAATTCCTGGCTCAGGTCGGCTCACCCAGTCGGTTGACAATGTATCGTCCTAGTTGGCCGGTTGCGCCAAATACGGTAACAGTATGGCCTGGTTCCCTCCCGTCAGTGTTGTTCGTGGTCATCGTAGCTCGATCATCGTACCTCCGAGGGATGAGCTAGAAGCAGAATAACATTAGAGGAGATCCGAATAGTTTGAATGGGCCGTGGTTGAGCTTACCGGCCTCCCTCAACTCGCATGATAGGCTTGCCAGTTCGAGTAATGGAAATATCGGATAGGTATCGCTTGCCGGCGACATTGAAGGCAGCCTTGCGGGCCGCCCTGGCAGCAAATAGAGGCGAAGCCATTGTTGCGAATATACAGATTGCGTGACAAAACGCTGCTGTGCCTCGCAATTGGCTGTTGAACGTCTCGTCGTCTCGATAGTAGCAGTGTCTGGTGATGCTAGCCAAGTTAGAGCCTCGGGGAACGGTAATTGCAGATCACGTGACGGGTCACTGAAATCTGACAGCTTGTCATTGGTTAGCACCTTTCGAGTGCTCCTCCAGAGGTCAAAATGGCCCGTGCGCCTTTACGTTGCGACGACCAGGCTGCCTGGTAGCCTCATTGATGAGCTAAGGACCTCCCTCCACACTCCACTGAAGCAACTTATCAACCTCTACGACCAAATCAGCTTCACCGATTATCACGACGGCCGCTTGACGACAACACGGTCCAATAGAGAAGGGGCCATACTCACGCTTTTGGGACTCATAGCTCGCAAAATCAGCTTCGGTGTAGCAGTACGCGCCGACAGATTAAGGCTGCAGGCAAGCTAGCTTCAGTTGCTGTGCACGTCACCCATACAATACACATCGATTCCACCGACATAAAATACGAATCCCGCCATCATGAGCAACGAGACCATCTCCGACTTTCTTGCCGAGCAGCGCGATGAAGCTCCCGAGGAGCTCCAGCCTCTCATTCTCGACTTTGAGAACTTCTGGGAGCGCAAGCTTTGGCACCAGCTCACTGACGCCCTCGTCGAGTTCTTCAGCCACCCCGAGAGCGCCCGTCAACGACTACCATTCTACAGAGTCTTCATTCTCAAGTTTGCCGACAAGATCAACCAGTTGAAGCTTGTGGATCTAGCATTGAAAGCAGCAACAGAATGTGAAGGTGAGATTTCAATGCAATATGCTCCGAAGCCGGCGGATTGCTTGCTAACCGATGGTTTTTGAACGACATAGAAGACGAGCAGCGCCTTTCTTTCCTGCAATCAGTCGCCAAGAAGGTTGATAACGAGAATTCTCGGGATGCTTATGTCTATGCCTTGGTTGCTGTCGCCCAAGCAAAGCTGGACTTGGAGGAGCTAGATTCTGCGCGAAAGGACCTGGATACAGCCGAGCGGATATTGGATTCTTTCGACTCTGTAGAGAATGTGGTCCATGCTGCTTTCTATGATGCAAATGCCATATACTACCAGGTATGTTCTTCATCTCAGACTTTGGACATCTGGTGAACCCCGCTGACCCCTCCCTCAGCGCAAGATGGACTTCTCCAACTACTACCGCACTGCTCTCCTCTACCTCGCTTGCATCGACCTCAGCGCAATGACTCCTGAGGAGCGACACAAGAGAGCCTACCACCTCAGTATTGCTGCTCTTGTTTCAACAAGCATCTACAACTTCGGAGAGCTCCTGCTCCACCCCATCCTTGACGTGCTCGCCAAGAGCGAGCATGCTTGGATGCGTGATCTGCTATTTGCCTTCAACCGCGGAGATCTCGACGCTTATGACCAACTTTCTGATCGCGTCGAGTCCAACAAGCTTCTTAAGAACAACGCCACGCATCTTCGACAAAAGATCTACCTTTCCGCATTGACTGAGGCTGTCTTCCGCCGTCCTCCCCACGACCGCACCCTCACTTTTGCCACTATCGCTCAGGAGACTAAGGTCCGACCCGAAGAGATCGAGCATCTCATTATGAAGGCTCTTAGCCTAGGTCTGTTGCGGGGAACTATTGACCAAGTGGACGGCGTTGCTCAAATTACCTGGGTTCAGCCCAAGGTGCTCGACATGAAGCAAATCGCGGCAATGCGCCAGCGCCTGCTTGACTGGGACTCGAGCGTCAACCAACTCGGTAACTGGATCGAGTCGGCTGGCAAGGATGTGTGGGCTGCGTAGACGAGCTCTCGACAAGAGTATGGCATAGGGCATGGATGTATGGCAATCAAAACGAACAAATGTACAGTATAGACGAATAGAAACTTTACTGCGGGCAGATGATGATCTTTTGCCCAAGTCAAGACTATTAATTCTAAATTTTGCCTAATCTATATGCCCTTGTTTAATACTTAAATATCAGAACCACCATTCTGAATTTCTGGTGGCGCAATGCATGCTTTGCTTCCTATTTTACAGTCCGAACCCTCAATTTTCCTTAAGCAGTAACCTCTCCGAAGACATTGACCATGCCTACGAGCCAGGCTGGCCACCAAAGGCACCATACTACAACGGGCGTATACATGCCCCAGATGTTCCAGCCGAAGCTGGCCTCCTTCAGCAAGTCTGCGATACTAATGTCCCAGATTTGGGCGGCTGCGTACAAAACTGTAGGTGGTGACACGATATTGAGGAGACCTGCTAGAGACCAGCGAAGCCCCGGGTTCTGGACCGGCTGGACAAAGCTGAGCGGGCTTGAGAGTACGCCGATGAGAAAAGCAAGAGAGAAGTTGAGAGTTGCAAGAGTAGAAAGGCACATGCCAAGAACGAGAAGAGAGAAAGACTTTGTGAGTTGGAAGTGCTGCTTTGTGGGCTGGGTGACAAGCGTTAGGAGACGAGAGATCGCGAAAGGAAGGACAGCCGAGATGACGGAGAATGCAGCAAAGGCGGGTGAGAGTAACTAGAGATGATCAGTATAAGACTGGAATATGATATTGGGGGGAGCACTTACGCCGGCGGGAAGGTGGTTGAATGTGTACAGAGGCACAGCTGCGAGACCCTGGCAGACAGCAACAACGCCGAGCGGAACGAACAGGTCCCGTCCAGCTTGTGTTGCTTCGACAGATGTGGTAGATGTCTTCTCCTTAGGTTTCTGTGTCGCTGGTGATTGGCCACTCTTCACCCAGAGCGAGATAGCCATGATGGTAAAGTTGGCAGCAATCAACATGGCACTGGGAAGATAAGTGCCGATACTAACGAAACGATCGGTCTGCATCAGCAGATAAAAGAAGAAACTCTGGTGCAGGTGCTCGAGCAAATTATTCAAACTTCGGAACGACCCCTCGACCAGGCGTCCCATGGCCATCTCATCATGCCATCCTTCGCCGTAAGGCTGAAGTGTCACGGCATCAACGTGATATGGGATGAAGCTGCTGTGAGCACCAGCTGCATACCCGAGACCTTGGTTGAGCATACCACGCAACATGGTTTGTAAACGATCAGGGTAGGTACCCTTGTGCTCTGTCATCTTCTGAATAGAAGTGCCAATACCCATCTGGCCACCAGCAATGTTGACGATTGAGTTGATAAGATCAAGGTTAGGAAGCTGGCCATTAGGGCCATCGTAAATCACATGAACAGACTTGAAACTTTGTTCTTGGGGGTAGTCGATAGCAAGAGCACCCTGAAGAGCACCGGACTTGAGAGGCAAAGGAGCCACAAGATCAGGGTTGTGAGCATCATGGTAAGCGTCAACCCAAGCCTGTGTGCCTGTCTTGCTATCGGGAGGAACAACAAGAATGATGTCCTTGGACCAGAGTGACCAGCCTATGTTTGTCAGCGTCTATCGCTTGGTTTGAGTTTCAGGGGGTATACATACGTTTAAAGTAACGGACCAAAGTCAATGCCAGGGATACGCCATTGCGGTTGAGCTGCTCCTCGACGTTCTTCCAAGCAGCAACCAACACAATTGCCTCAGTGGCATCGCCACGGGGAGCTTGCAGGATTGCGTAGAGGTTCTGTCCTGAGTACTCAAGGCCAGCTGAGTGGTAGGTGTAATTTTGACGCCCAACCTTTAATCCAACACCCGTGAGAATCTTGTCGAGCCTGTCGTTGATCCTGTAGCCAGCCCAGGTTAGCGATTGCTGTATTTTCCCAAATCCATGTCAAGACGCACTCATAGTTGTTCTTGTCGACTACGTCGTCAACCTCATGTCGGTAGGCGCGGAAGATGTTCTGTTCGCTTCCTCCAAAATATGTATGCACTTGACCTGGCAACAAGGCATTCTCTGATATGTATGTCCGACGCGAATATTCGTTTAATGGCAGAAGAAAGAGCCAGATTACACCGATCGCGATGCAGAGGAAGGACAAGTAAGGGGGGAGCTTTAGAATGCGAGGATCGCGACGCAGCGACAGCGCTGAAGCTATAGAACATATCAGCCAATGGTCAGAATAGGGGATGAGAGAGGTGATTGCATACAAAGTAGCCGCGACATCGTTTAGCCAATGTCTTGGTGATCAAAGACTTGGTCTCTCGATGCTTGAGCTGAGTTAAGGTTGCGGTTGAGGTTATCCTTGGCTTAGCCTCCACTCCCGTCTTGGAAACAATGAGATTCAATCACCAAAGAGGGTACGTACCGTCATGACAGCTTTCCGTTGAATGGAAGCTCCCCCCGGCTTCAGGGGTTATATTGCGGGCCACCTGCAGTGGATGCGGGGCAGTCTATGCGGCTACCGGGGGTTCATGCCGATCGAGAGCTACAGCATCAAATAAACAGTCTTTGAGATTAGAATCAAGCTTAACATTAGTACTTCAGTAATGGCGTCCAGGCATGAGTTGTTCTCTTTTTTAGGCATGCAGTATCGTAATGGAAATAAGAACTCACTGCAAGAGTAGACACATCGTAAACCAATGACAATACATGTATCACCATTATTCATGACAACTGAAACAATCTTCGTCCTCTACCTTTATTATCGCTTCATCCATTATAGTAGTACCTGAAATAGTTCTTGGAAGAAAGGACCATGAGCAGCTAGATGAACCCGCGCGGACGTCCATTCATTCCTTTGCTTTTAATCGCTACGCCGATCCCTGACGCAAGAGACTCCACGGAAAATGAAATGCCCTTTCTATAGTACAATTCGAAAAGAGAGCGTGCAACAAGCACTTCCGTACCATTACAGTTACACAAAATTACACGCGCACCATGTACGCTCGTTCAAGGCCCGAGACGCTGGGTTGTACCAACGAGCTCCGTCGCTGCGCTGCCACTGGGACCAGGGCGGTTGGTCGTGGGCAAAACACCAAATCGGCCATATGTTGTCTTGTCGATGCTGACATAGTGAGGGAGGATCTTGAGGAGGTTGAGTCGATTCTCGACCCATCGAAGACCCCATTCAGGAGGGGCGAGCAGCTTGGCATACCCGAAGCCAGCTATTCTAGCTATTAGTTTCCCTTCGACCACGACAGTGACTGTGAGACTTACCAACGTATCCAATTGCAATTCCACATAAATGACCAAGAAGACTAGTACCAGGTACCAATGCCCTCACAACCATACACATGATTAAGGGGGTAGTCCATGTTGGGATATGGACAGTACCGACGACGAAATGAGGGTTGGTTTTGTATGTTTGAATAGACTCCATCGCCAGTAGAGTAAATACCCACATGCTAGAACAAACGTTAGCCCATGTTCATGCCTAACAATTTCCTCTTCGTCGTACCTCGCTCCCAGAACGCCATGGTTTACGTGGAATACATATCGCTCGATCAGAACGTACATCACAGCCGGTATCGATGTAAGAGCTAAACAAAGCAAGTCAACTCATAGTCCTTCAGCATATCTGAGGTTTCTTACGTCCAAAGAACAAAGCAAGGGATGTTAAGGTGCCATGTTCGTTCTCGAATCGCTCCATTAGAGGAGTAAGCGCCGCGAGGTTAAGGACAGCATGAATAATGTCAAGGTGTATTAACGGGAATGTCGACAATCGATATGCTTTGAGCAAGTCTAGTTAGCAAATGCGCAAAGGTTCAATATCGCTTGGTAGTACCATTTGTAATGCTAATTTCTTCAGGAATGAGGGCGCCCCATTCTCGCAAATTCCATACTGATTGTAGCGATGCAATTGCGAGGGCAACAATAGCGACGATGATAAGTCGTGTGAATAGTGGCAGCCGTGTCAGATATGATCGGGCTCGTAAAGCGTTGAAGTTCTGGAGACGGGGTCGCATGTCTAATAGATTCGAGCTGCTCGGAGCAGCCGGATGATCGTCGTTTTAAAGGAATGAAAGGACCGACGACACGGAGGGGATAATGAGATAGAAACAAGAGAACTAATGCGAGTTTCTTGACAATAAGAAAAAACCGGTTGGAATCGCAACTCACTTTCACGCCCTCAGAAACACTCGCAGGACGATGGCAAGTCAAACTGGACAACGGACCCTTGACCCTTAGATCGAGGTGTGGCTGTTGAGTTGTATCGGCACGTGATCAGTGCACGGCCACATCTGAGTGATGTACTTGTTTCTGGGACGTAGGCATCACGCAAAGTTCAAAATGCTCTCAATGTGCTAACTATAGGTAGGTAGGTAGGTCGCATCAGAAAATCATGAGCCTGAAGAAGCGTTCACAGAATTGCTCGGGTTTCGTATCTAAACAGGCTGGGACGATAGATCGATACCAGATATCACTATGGCACATCGTGAATGAAGCAGATGCATCACTTATAAATAAGAGGTATTTGAACAGTTAGAATTTTGTTACAACTAATGAAAGCATGGCTATTCCTTTGCTACAAATATGTAAAAGACATGGGCGCTCAACATTTTAGACATATACCGTCCGTTGAAAAGCCCCTCTACTGTCTGCCCTCGAAACCCAATCGAGAACATCAGGATGTACGCCGTATGTGACCCAAAATATCAATTTGCTCTTCTTTACTTTACTCCACTTCATTCCATCTTTAGTTCTTGGCGGCCTTGGCCATGGTGTTCAGGGCAGAACCGTTCTTGAACCATTCGATCTGAGCCTCGTTGAAGGTGTGGGACAGAGGGATCTCGAAAGATGGGCTGCCATCGGCGGGGTGGACAACAAGAGGAAGGGGCTTGCCAACGGCGAGCTGAGTGCAGAGGACATCGACCTTGTCATCAGGTCGGATTTTGTCGTAATCGGCAGGGTCGGTGAAGGTAAGAGGAAGCATACCCTGCTTCTTCAGGTTGGTCTCGTGAATACGGG